GCTACCCTCCCTACTGTCCATTCTGCTTCCACTACTGCCATGTGAGTCGACGCTAGAGTAGGCCCGAAAAACTCGCCCATTGCTTGCTCTACGTGTCCGACCCCTTTGCCGCGTGGTGACCCGGCGAGCTCAGCATTCATGAATAGTGCGTGTAATGTCAACCAACCTGTAGAGCAGTAAGGGTGATCAATAGTAGGGCTCAGTACGACGACTCATCTCTTCTTTTCAGGAACTCCAAGAACAGCTGTCACGTCTGCAAGATGGATTGTTCGCTGAACATGAAAAGAATAGAATTAATCACAAAATAAAAGCTCGCACCGAACAGAAACTGGTGAGTTAAATTTCCGCCATTTCATTGTTTTTTTATTCATATCTGAATAAGCATTAGTTGATGACTGAAATGCCATCTTTTGGCGATTCTTGCTTGTAGTTTTGCATAACACTTACGAATGGAGCAAACAAAAGGTTCTCATGTCAAAGCCCTGACTTTAGCGCGGCGCATGTGTTTCAATTTCTGGTAGTTGGCGAATTTCAAAACTGAGGTAGAGGTTAAAAGCGCGGGCTTGCGCAACTACCAAATTTATAAATCGTTGTATTCCTTTTTGAGTTTATTGCTAGGGCAATGCATCTGGCAGGTCTCTTTTGGAGTGAACCCACACGTCTGGCCTCCACTCAGAATCTTAGCAGCTTTATTGTGCATTTTTGTCTAGACAATCAGCTAGGTGAGCCTTTCGATGTACAAGCTAATGTCCTGTGCCTTTTTTGCCTCAACGGAGGATGCCAGCGGAAGCAGATCAGAGCGCGCCCTATGATGGAGCGCGCTCGACTAGCCTGGGTGGATTTCTTTCTGAGATTAGGTGCTGAAACATGTATTTAGGAGCAGCTCCGCTTCTCGCTACTACAGCGCTCACTTCGCTAATAATGGCCTAACTTCCGTTCAAATAAGTGAATTGCGTAGTCTTTAACTCTTTTTTCCACAACAAGTGCTTTATGTAATCTTTTTATGGAGCTTTGAATGTTATCCTACTTGGAATTCTAATTTCTGGATTTCAAACCAAGAGTAACACGCCCCCGACTGGATTTCAAAAAAGAGTTTTGACCACGCGGTTTTACGAGGCCTGTAACACGCTTTGCATATTTCAGTCCTTCACGCATACGGCAATGTGCTATGAATGCATGCTGTCAGATCCGTCATTTATCAGCCTTGCGCTAGATTTCTCTAGCAAACAGCTACAGCTACTTCTCAACGCTGTTGTGCCTAACTTGTAAGGTCTACTATTCCAAGTTATTTATTCTTTTTTTGTCTTGTGCCTAGCTTGTGATCTTTGATTATAAAATATTCCAGCCGTTATGAGAGCGAACTACCAACAGTTGCTCCGCCACTGTTCGCCGCCTATCCAGAGTTCTATTTGGATGATGTGCTTGATCTGGTGACATTTGCATTGAAGTGAGAGAATTTTTTTGATTCTAGTGCTTATTTTGAAGGGTCACTCTTTTGTATGAGTACGAATCGCAGGTTCTTGGTTTTTGCTCAGACTGCTAAACTATAAGTTCAACGGATTTGGAATAAATTTCTTTCTGCACGGAAAATCGTCCTAATTTGTTCTGTGCGCTTCAATACCAGTCATGTTGAAAAAAAGCGCTTCCAGGCACACTGCTCCACTTCTTGTTGGTCGAAATAATGATTGGCCAAATCACTTGTTGGTCTTCATTTGCTGTACTCACTACTTCAATAATCCATTTTTGGCTGCCAAAGTAAAGTTTTCATTCGTTCTGTCTCACCATTTCCAGTGTATCTATTTCCATAATGGAATTCTCCTAACCTCTCCACGAATTTTGATCCACAAATATTTTACAGGTGGTTGAGGTGGTCATGATGCTCACTCCTGCTGTTATGCCGGCTGCACAAAATCTGTGGTACCAGGTGATAAACAGCCCAATGGCAATGGAAAAGCTCTTCCCCAGTTTGGTAAAGGTTGGTTGAAGCTGATATTAACTTTGCTTACTTTAATATAGATTTGAGAATGTTGCTTAACACCTGCGAAAATTCCATGTTTTGTTTTCACAGAGTATCTGTAGAGAGTCGGCAATCGAATTAACAGCAGTGCTAGTTATGTTACATCAAATTATCAGTCAACTCGAAGTTGTCAGTTAGTGTTAAGTAACTTCTTAATCATCCTGATGCCAGAAACTGTGTTGGTCCTAATGAAACACTGCCTGTTCATTTGATAACAGTAACAGTTTCGTTTCGAGTCCCTTTATCAGGCTTTTAGAATAACTTTTCAAAGCTTCCGAAAAGCGATTGGTACTATATTCTCTGTTTGATTTCAGTTTTACTCCGATGCTGAAGCTGGTACGGACTTCTATGAGAAGTTCAGTATTCGACGCAATATCCAAGTGATTTTCCAGTGTTTGTGGAACGAGAACTTATTATCGGTCTATTATGATTCAGCTGCGTATTTCAATCCTACTTTAGGATTTGATGTTTGCTCCTAGCGATGCCTACAATGGATGCATTCGGTTTCCAGAGCTTGCGGTCCCGAGTTTATTCGATTCATAAATATGGTCATCAACGATGCTACATTCTTGCTGGATGAGAGTTTAGGCAGCGCTGAAAAAGATCCATGATGTGGAACTAGTAATGTCCAACAAAGAAGAATGGGCAGCGCTTGGAAGGGAGGAACAACAACAAAGGGAGGGCATATTAGAAGATGCGAAGAGGCAGGTAGGGAAGCTTTCCTTTAAGTTGACTTACCAGAAAAGGCATTCAACTTCCCATGGAACTTTGAATTGAGACCCAGATATATCGATAGAGCTTCAAACGCTGATTACAAATATGGAAACTAAAACTGCAAAATGAACCTGCCAAGGAAGTTGTGAGCAGTCAAAGTTGGCTAAAGTAAAGCGTTGCATATGAACCGTGCTGGGCTTTCAGAGTCGCCGCGGAGTAGTGGTAGTGCCCTCGCTCTTCACCCGAGAGGTCATAAGCTCTTTTCCCGTTGGAGTGCAAATTCCGAGAGCTTTAGCACTGCTGCATAGAAAGCCTAGCATTTTCACTGCTCACAACTTCCTTGGCAGGTTCATTTTGCAGTTTTAGTTTCCATATTTGTAATCAGCGTTTGAAGCTCTATCGATATATCTGGGTCTCATTCGAAAGTTCCATGGGAAGTTGAATGCTTTCCGGTTAGTGGCGCTTCCTTCCTGAATCATAAAATAATATGTTAAGGTACGCTCATGGCTAATCTATGCGAAAGATACATTAGAACTGCTGGGATATCTGACGAGGGATGCTCCACAGCCATTTGCTCAAGATGTGCTTGGTGACAGATTAGCGTCTATGCTCAACCACAATATAGCGCAGCTATGTGGGCGGAAGTGCATGGAGTTGAAGGTAACATAATCTTGTTTCATGGAAGACTGACTACTTATGTTGTTTACCTATTCCGATTTTGATTCCAATTTTTACGTCATCCTCATCTGCCTTATAGGTCCGCGATGCAGCAGAGCGATTCCAGTGGGAGCCGCGCAAGCTAGTCGGCCAAGTAGTGGATGTTTACCTCAACTTGGCTGCGTTCTCGGACACATTCGCAGAGTTTATTGCTCATGATGAGGCTAGTGAATAGTTTATATTCAGCGACGGTTCCTAAATGATTGTGAAAACCTCAATGGAAACTACTCCTTTTAGTTAGCGTGATTCTGTTTACATTGCATTTTTGAGTGAATTTATTTCTCACATTCTTTTTTCTCCAACAGATTGTGTATTTATTGTAAAGGTTGTAGTGGCGCAAAGTAATGGAGTAGAATAGTAGAGTTTTCCCTGCAAATTCGTGATTCGTTCTGGATTTCCTCAGATTGCGGATGCGGAGATTACCTCAACATTGTCTCGTTCTCTTGTTTGGTTGGTCCAGTGGGAGCCAGTCCACAACCGATGTTTGGTTTATGCAGTGCAACTGGCAAGCATTTCTCAGCGTCCGAGTTTCTTAGCTCTTAAATTCATCTTCAAACAAGGGACGATAATTACTTCTTCCCTTTATTTTTATTTCTAGGTCGGCTCGAGAATTTGTCACTGGCAGTACAGCCGTCCCAGGTTAAGGGAGTTTTTATGGATCTGACCAGAGGGCATTGATTATCATATAAACGGTGTTACGTGGCGTCAGTGTCTAGTTAATTGAAGGGGATTGGTTGGAGGAAGTTGTTGATTAGGAAGTGCAAATTTTCCGGCAGTTGCTTCTGCTACTGCGAAATTGCTAGCACATCAACGAATACCGTTGTTAAAGCAAGACCTTAAAAAACGGATAGCGAATTTCTTCTTGGAGATTTCTTCTCCCACTCCTCTCATACTTGTCCGGATTATCATTTCTTGCCATTTTCTGTTGATTCTGTTCTATTGCACTATACCGTATTGTTTTGGCCACCCTGGATAAGTTTTATGAACGCAGTTCAATCAGGGGAGACGCCACACCTAGCAGTTCAAAGCGATATTATGCTAAATTTCTTCCAAGAGATCTAATCGCCACAGATATGACACGACGTCATTCGGTCGTCTTCCCGAGCAATAATATCGTTGCCCATTCATCAAATCGAGAAGGTGAATTTTTTGAACATTTAAAAGATGTCTGAACATGCTCAGTATTTACGTATCCGGCTGTCCCTAAGAGCATATAATTCACGCTCAATTTCTTCATGATTTTTTATACCTTGTTCTCTCTCTATAAATTCGATTCCGTGCCTTAACGAAAAGGTTGAAACGTTGTATAACAACAAAGCAGCTCAAGAAATGGAACTGGAAGATGCTCCCGAAGAATTCAAGGGTATGTTTCTGAATCAGGGAGTTTTACGAAGACACACTCATGCGCGGTCTTTTACCCCCTTTTGATTGTTGTCTCTTTTGTGCTCAAGAAAAATTACATTGCTCATAAAATTTGATCTAACAAAGAACTTGAAGGGTGAGCTCCGAACTTTTCATATATGCATCGCAACTTTGTATTGATGGAGTAGTAAGCCTGCTTTTAAACTTATAGTGTTTTTGCCTGCCTATTAGCCGTGTTACGGTCACCTTCGAGGCGTATTTGCTGTATAATAGCTAACGACGCCTGTCCATGACGGCTCCCACTTTATCGTCCGTAGCCTGATTATTTAAAGCATGATCCAGCGAAGAATTTACTTTTGAATATTTGCGTGGCTATGGTACCACTTGCCGCTACACCATAGCCGCCTTGAATTTGACCTTATTGTTTATTATTTTTTTAAATGGCAAGTATTTTCTCTAGTTTCGAGACATTAAGATGCTATTATATTGGAATATCACCAAGCCGTCATAGGCTTTTGGTGAAGAAACTATGTATGTTTTTTTTCGGGACACGCAATCACGACAACCGCCAAAATATAAATTTCTTCTACCAACAGTGCCAATATCTTACATGCGGTGATTTAATACGCATCTTGCCTCTCACTTCATTTTTCGCTTCCTTATCCTGTATATGACTGGGAAATCTTTTTGTCTTTTCCGAAGCTCAGCGCACATGAATGTCTAGTGCTCCTAAATGTTAAGTTGTGAGTTTTGCTCGAGGCCGCATATGGATTCTTTTGCAAAGAGCTCGTGGTGAACATCGCACAAGAAAGGAATCATCAACTTTCCTCCCCTTCCACTTGAACTGCGATTTCATTGGGATGACTTATCTCGCTGCTATTGAAATAATTCTTCTCCCTTATGTCTCAATCCAAAGAATATTGTGTGTGATTTTTAGCCTCTTGCTCAAGTATTCGTCGCGTTCTGAACAACCGCCAATTTTGTCACCTGCTTTCAAATGTCTCTACCCTGTTTAAAAGAGGCTAGTAAAAATCAAAAAACCAAGCTGATCTAAGGTTATTACGTTCTGTTAAAGTGACATGACCATTTCAGTTTTTGTTCCAGATCCTGTAATGGATACGCTAATGGAAGATCCAGTCCGATTACCATCTGGTCATATCATGGATAGAAAGCATATCATGCGGCATCTGCTCAGCAGTCAAACGAATCCCTTTAATCGTGCCCCACTCACCCCAGAAAGAGGACTAGAGCCTGGTAGCGTTTACAAGTTCAGAAGATTATTCGAACACGGTGGTATAACTGCGAGTTGTTTGTTACTCACTACAAGCCGCAGTGGCTTTCTTCCCGGATCATACTTTGTCTGCGTTCAGAATCAACCAGAATGCCTTCCAATCCGTTATAATTAGCATTTGGGCTCTCATGGCCAAGCAGGAATTAAGAATTTCATTTTTCGACTGATTTTTGCGACTTTTATGAAGTTCTGCTTATCTGTGTGTCACACTTATAATTACGTCAGACTCGCGATAGTGAGACAGAGACGAATCGCGCCCGATTCCAAAACGTCTGACAGCTCCGATGCCACAATCATGTAAGAGCTATCCATTAAACGAATTGCAATATGTCTCAAATGAGGCCTCTCCATGGAATATGGTCCCTTCTGCCTCGGAATTAAGCGAAGAGCTACTCAGAACAACGCCGAAGAGCTACCAACACCGTAGTCCATTTATTGCTCTTTCAAGTGCACGACCTGAAGCATACGCAAGTAACCATCCCACCTCTCAGCTTCGCTTCACCACACTCCTCTTCTCTTCTCCTTAATTACACTACTCTCAGAACCTCTAACCTAGAATCTGCGCCGATCCTATTACTGAGCCTTCATGCCGCCCAGCATTAATTAGCACTGTCGGAGAAAAGCTATTCCACAGCTGCGCACCCTTATCTCTTCTGCTGTACTGACAGCTTAGTGAGCCTAGAAACGAGAGAAGAGGGCTACACACATTAGACGACATTACGCGCAAGACCCTAAGCTCAAGGATGCTCGCGAGACTGTAGAGCTATCATGTCCCTGCGAGCGATCTCAGATACTCCTTCCCAATGGGTTCGATGATTCCTACATTTTTCTCTGTTTCATTGCAGATCGGCGCCCGCTACAAATATCATATTACTGACCCATTTTCGAACGTGAAATTACGCGAATGATGCTTTTCACAACTCGGCCAAACATGGTCTTGCCTAACTTAAATTCTTCCGCCAGTCGCTAAAGAAAGTCTCTTAACGAGAGCTCAGCCGTAATCCACAACCAAACATCACGGAATGATATTCTGCTTCTCATACACTCCACACTGTCATATTTATTCTCTCTTCACAATATAACTGACCTTATTATTCTAGTGTCACAAAACTAGATGCGGGTAGACGACATTATACAAGAGAGAACCAATGTACTACTAGGTAGCATGAACGACGGCTAAAATGATCCAAACTCTGTGAGACTTATTACCGCTGCTTCTAAAAGCTTTAAGTGCCATGAATAATAAACTTTAATTGTAAACACCTTGACGGTTTAGACTTGCAGATAAGTCACCTGAAATTCTGAGACCGATCAAAGAAATATGAACAACCCTTCAACTAAACTTGTCCGTGGTTTGGTGTTCTCGCCATTAAGCGCTCTTATTCTGAGCTAAGATCTTGAGCAAGTATTTCGAGCTTCTGGGCGCTGTAAGAGCATAAGCAACTCTTGCACCAATTAAAGATCCTTCGCGAATAACTCCATCGCATCTTTTTTAACTATGATAACCTATCAGCGCTGTAACTTCCAACTTCTGTTTTCATTGCATACGTGTAGCACAAAGTGTAAGAGATCGGTTTGCTATTTCGCCCTTCGCCAGTGCATGTGTTTGCTCGCCGCACGTATCGATTATGTTTTCAGCTGCTGAGTTGCGGCAGCGGATACGAGACTGGGTGAAGGAGAAACTCGGAAAGTAGAAGGCAATTTCCGCTGGCTGAAAAAACGTTTTTGTGTGGTCGTTTCATTATAAATCTTGCCTTAAGTTCTCTTCTATACGGTTTGTATTGAACCTTTGTCTTCTTTCCGGCGTGTACAATTCTTCCTTTGATTACTGTTTCATTGTACAAATTAGCCCTCTCTGTCCATTTTATTTCTCGAGAGTGGGCTACAGTCATTTGTTTATTAGGCTGCAGTTTGTCGTTTGGTTAATATAATCGACGTTCTGAACATTTTGATAATCATCATCTCCCGCTCCGATCTTTGTATTCCTGCTCTACCTTAATGCTGCGATAGATTCGCCTCAATTACCCTACGATCGTTGGGTTTGCTTTCCTTCATGTTCGTGTTAGTCTTTAAACAGTTGAACAACGGTAGTGATCAATGTGCGGATATATCTCAGTCTGGGTCATTAAGTCATTTCGGGGGCGACACTACTTGTTGGCTTTTCATATCCATGGTATGGCTCCCAAAAACATAGGGCTTTACTTGTCTTTTTTAGTACTGCAGCAATTGTTGGGGTCTTTCGAATTTTGGTTGAATCCTGCTTATCTACAGCTATTGCTGCCAGTTTGCAAAAATGACACTATGTGCCATTGGCAAGTTTAGAGGTCAGCCGGCGCCTTGATGACGCCGCTGATATTAAAACGTTCCTGTGAACAATTAAGTGTATGTTGTAGGTCGTCAGCATTTGAGATACATTACAAGCTTCACATCTAATATATCGATCGCCGACAACAATAGTTGTTTTTGATGTATCGTGATGTCTTATAGATTTACTACATACGTGCATATTGTGTATCGTATTTTCTCATTGTATAAAGGGTTTCGTCATTTTTGCTGCTCCATTGTGCCTATCGAATCGATCGTTGAAATCGACCGTATCTTATCTTCAGATGAATGAATAGGCTTTCGTTGCAAGTTCGCTCATGGAAATTGCGAGCGAACATCAGTAGACAGATTTCTATCGCTGAACTTTTTCCGTTGTTAGGAATAAACTTTGGGCACCAGCAATTGAGAAGATGTCGCTTCTGGTCAAAAGCTTCAGGGTTTGTGGAATGCTGTCTCTTTTCTTTAGTTCTATTTTTATCCTTTTTTTGCTTGAGCATTCTTTTTAATCTTTTTCCTGAACGTGTCTGAAGGTTCAAATTCATACATTTCTGGTGAAGTATCCACTTCTAGGTACCAGCGCCCGGCGCTCTCCGCGGCCATGGTCGCTTCTCAACGACGCATGAATAGTGGTGGGGATGTGACGTTCCACACAAGGTGAAATAGTTGTTCTTTCGTTTGTTTGCTATTCTCTTAAATGTATTCTTGCTTTCAATTACGAGTTTAGTTATCAGTCAAGGAAACCTTTTGGGAATAGGCACAGAGTTCTCTTTTTGAACTTGCAATCCTCGAATGCTTGTTTGAACTGATTTGAGTTACATAAATTTCTATGATTATAAACTGCACAAACTCGACCAGAGTCCGAGCAATACAGTCCCCTTGACTAGGGATGAAGCCATTGCGTGTTCTAAATCGGCAAATGCAGGTAAGGGACCCCGTTCTTTCCACGACTAAAGCGGTCTTATAAGTTGTGAATTTGGTATTTTAATTTAAATAATTCAGCTGATTCGTCGTATGGAGTCAGCTGCTTCAAACCTCTATAAAGAGAAGAAAATTGGCGGTTTCTGTCATCTGTACTCTGGCCAGGTATTATTGCTGCTTCAGAACGCGTATGAAACTATTCAACGTCTCTCTCAGTGAATTTCATCTTTAGGAAGCTTGTGCTGTTGGCATAAAAGCAGCTATGACAGATGGTGATGCTGTGATTACTTCGTATCGTTGCCACGGATGGACATTGTTACATGGCGCCAGCGTATCGCAAGTTCTCAGTGAACTGACTGGTATGTTGTTTTGGGTAGCGGGGAAATCTCACGCAGCCAATAGAAAACTGTTCAATGTCCAGAATACGGAACCTACCTCCACCTTATTTTTTCCTTCATTATTATCATCTCTCACTTATCTTTGTGCTTCGCTGTGGTACCAAGTCAGCTGTAAGCATGGAGTATATCTTGGCATGCATTTCCTTAGGAACCCTAGCGAAAAACCCCGTGCTAGGGTTCTAAAGGAAAGAGCGCATTTTATGATTGGCGCACGATCTAACCTGATTCGGGAAAGCAATGATCAGCCCATAAAAGTGAGCAAGGTGAGATAGATCGCATAACGAAACAATTTGCTACTGTTGTGCAGCTTAGTTCTGGTACCCGTTATGATCTTCGCTGACCACTGATATAGCTCAACTGTTCACAAAATTGTTTAAAAAATTCGAAAAGCGTGTTCAGTTACCCGAGATGTTCCTCCCACGGCCACAACTTAGCAAGAAGACTCTCCAGGTATAGATCTCTGATTTCATTCCTCCCCGTAATATGTTGTTCAAAATCTGATATTTCGTCAAGCCAGCGGTGCGCGCTAGAGTGTGGTTTCTATCCACACCCTTGATTCTGCGTGGCGTCCCAATCCGATTGGAGCTCCGACGAATCAGTAGAGTTAGTCTAGGGGTTATGCCAGGAATCCGATCAGCGTTGATCTCCAACATCTCCCTTGATTGTAAGCGAAACCACGCTAAATGTGGTTCAATACTGCTTCCATCCATTTTTTTTTCCAAAAAGGCCATTTTAAAGCACGAATCCCGAAAGACTATCCTAAGGTTTGAACTCCAACTTTATTTGGACGCTTAGGTTTTTTACACAAATTTTTGGCCAAGGATTTTTGGAACGTGCGATATACATAAGTTTTTTTTTTTCAATTAATTTCGTTGTCTAGGGGCCTCAATTCTCGACAATAATTTTAATTTCATTCGAAGATGTTACTGAAGATCAATGTAATGGCTTCTCAAGTACTGTAGCACCATTCTGAATCTTTGAAATCACTGCGGGGAGGAAGGATTTGCCAGCGCTCCATTCAATCAAAGGCAGCAGCTAGTACGATAGGTTTATTGCCCCTTGGAGCAAAAAGTTGAGGTGGTCAAGAAAAAGTAACGTGAAAAATAAATACGTGTCAGTTAGAGAGAGGTTTTCCTGTTATATTGTCCACTCAATGTAGCTAATCCTTCCTCGCTATGGACCTGCATGCTTCACTATACTGCTGTTTGCGTTTACATCTAATCTTGATGAAGCGGGTCTTCTGCAGTCTCTTGATTCGACCCGGGGTTGCTACTACGTCAATGATAGGATCGGAGTACATATTTAATTATTCGCTCAGTTAATTGCTCTGGAGCACCACTGAAGCCAGCGTGCTGGGTCCGTGTTTAGGTCAATGAGATGCACTGCATCCGCCCTCATTTATTTATTTATTTGAATGACACGTTGTGAACAACATGTAAACATAGTAAAAACCAGGACAAACCAATAACACAACAAAGTAGATTTCAACCAAACAAATGAAAAAGTCATATAAAGTCGTCAACATGCTTCTTGAAGGTTGAATACTTGAGTGGAAACATATTAGAACGCAGAAGAGAGTTAAAACATGTACGTACTCTGTGACTGAAAAACTTTGACCTGCACTTGAGTCCTAGCTGTAGATGTCGATAATCTTATAGAGGCTCCTCTAGTGTTAGACGGCAGCACTTGGAAAAAATCAGAGACATCAACTAACACAAATTCTTAAGGATTTTATAAGCCATAAGTAAGTCATATCGCTTTCTCCTCCACTCGAGTGTTTTGAGACCAAGATTCGCATTCCTAGTCCCACTAGCTGGGATGTCAACATATGAGAGGCCCGAGCATCTTAGCAATAGTTTACGCGTGAAGTTATTTTGAACACTCTCAAGAGCCTGAATGTCGCGTTTAGTGAAGGGATTGAACACGGACGACCCAGACTCTAAGATGGGGCGTACGTAGAGTTTATATGCACGCAGAAGAACGTCTTGATCTCTAGACCGAAGAGCTTTGAACAAATTGAAAGTACGTCGATTACCTTTCAAAACCATCATTTTGTAATGTTTGTTAAAATTCAACCGATAATCGTAGTAATATCCGAGATCGCGGACTTCTGAAACCATTTTTAGGGTCTGATTATCCACCATGTAAACAGGGCTAACGGATGGGAACCAATACGCATAACCTGAGTTTTGTCGGTCGACAAGCAGAGCCCATTAGTAATGGCCCAGCCAACAATCCTATCTATTGCCTGCTGAACGGCCGCGTCAGAAACGGAGTCATTAACTACCTTAAAATTTTTATATCATCTGCATACATATTGCAATAAACATCAAGACTTTGTATGCATTGAGGGAGATCAGCAGTGTAGATATTGAACAGAACAGGTGAGAGAACTCCACCCTGAGGTACACCACTAGTAGCAACTTTTACACTCGAAAGAGTATCACCGACAAGAACTTGGAATGTCCTATTTTCAAGAAAATCCTGTATCCAATTGACAACCAAGGGGTGAACACCAATGTGCTTCAATTTATGAATTAGAATACTGTGCGACACTTTGTCAAATGCCTTACTGAAATCAAAAAATACTACATCCACGTTCTTTTTCAAGTCAATTGCATTAGACCACTTGTTCATGCAACATAACAGAGCTGTTTCAGTGGACTTGCCAGGACAAAAGCCATGCTGTGACGAAGGGATTATATTGTGTTTATCTAAATGCTCTAATAAGTACTGTTTTATGACTTTCTCAAAGGTTCGAGCAAATATAGATGTCAAGCTGATTGGCCTATAATTATCAGGGCTGGAAAACGGCTGTTTTTTGGGTAATGCAAAGACAATGGAATGTTTCCACTTACAAGGAACCTCACTTCTCATGAGGCTCAAGTTGAACAAGAACTCAAGAGGTCCAGCAGATTTCAAAAATACAATTTTTCACTACAATGAAGGGAATATTTTCGCAATTTGTACTAGCCGCAGATGACCATTTTTCAAGAATATCTACTATGGTTTTCTTGTCAAACCAAGGGGCTGGATCATGAACATCGATACCGGGAGAGTTCACGTTGGGGATAGAAACATGAGACGTAGAAAACACTTTCTCAAAAGTGTTTGCTAGCAATTCAGCTTTATCATCTTCCGTTATGGCCATGAAAGAATTATCACTTAGGGTTCCGATATTAAGTTTATCTCGAAGTCTGGACCTGAGCAGAGAGTATAACGTTTTCGCTCCACCCTTTGAAAGTTTTTTCCGCTCAATATACGCATTATATTTGTTGAGCTTTTGAGTCCACTTTTTATTCAAAGCATGGAAGGCATTCCAGTCATCAGCCGCATGCGAAAAGACCGCTCGCCGCCAAAGCCTATACCTAATTTTTTCCAAAGAACTTAAGTATGGCGGAAGTTTGGATTGAACTTCTTCGTTTTTCAATTTGAAAGGAATGAACAAGTCCATGGCGTGTACCAAGATGGCTAAAAACATTTCATATTTTTCATTTACCGTATGTGCATTATTAAAAGAACCAAGCCAGTCAATGTGCCGTAGATAATTCCTCATACCATCAAAATCGGCTGATTTGAAATCTCTAATCCAGGTAGTTTTAACTTCCAGACGGGGTGAAGACAGACGAAATTTGATAACTGCATGGTCACTGCTACCAATTGGGGGCCCGCTTTTAGTGTCACGAATGAGAGTGCTATCATTACACAAAAGCAGATCTAGATGAGATTCAAACCGCGTAGGAAACAAAACAGTATGAACTAAACCATGGGACTTACACAATCTGTGAAATTTAGAAGCATTAGCATCAAGGTGAGGTGCGAAACTGGAGTTCAAATAGGGAAAGTTTAGGTCACCAGCTACAATGCAGATCTTACCACATGCACAAAAATCACTTATGGCTTTGAATAGCTGATCGGTTTTAGAAGAATTGCACGAGGGTGTCCTATAAACAGCAATGAGTCTTATCTCCAGAGAATAAAACCAGATATCACAAATCAAGATTTCGTAGGAGTCAGTCACTGATTCACTGAAAACTATGCAAGCCGAATGAGGACTTTTGACCATGACCGCAACTCCACCACCTCTCTTTGCGAAACCTATCAGTACGAAATATTTGATATTGTGATGCCACTAACCCTAGCAACGGAGCCATATCAGTTTTGGAATGAAACCAAGTCTCACTCAGAATAACCAGCTCAAAGTTTTCATTACAAATATAAGCTACCAAAGCATCGGCATTTTTTACAGCAGATCTTATATTGGTAAGGAAACCACTAATAAACAGACAATGGGGCCACGGAACTTTTAAGCGTTTACCTGCATTGAATTTCCATTATGGGCAACTGGCAAAGTATTTTGAGGAGAACCAACAACATTATTTACAAAATCAGAAGCCTGATTAGACGGCATAGAGACAGATGAATGAAAATTCATACCAGAATTGTTTCCAATGGGACGAGCTTTATTTGCTAAGCGTGCCTCACGGTACTGCACCCTCTCTTCCAACGATAAAGATGGGCGGAGATAGACGCCCTTAGGATCGAAAGAGCGCAGACGCGGGGCGCGTCTAACTGCCATTTGCTGAAACTTAGCTACGGGAAATACAACTTTGATAAGACGTGCCCTAATATTATTACTGTTAGACTTCCCCATGTGGTAAACCGCGCAGAGTACACATTCAATGTCAAGATGATTTAACAAAGCATTGACACATTGAAAATCATGATTCGCTCTATCTATCGACAGAAGAAGAATTAGGTTCTGACAACCCAATGATAACAACGGACCGCTTCTTTTCAATATCATTCTCAGACATTGACTTTTCACTGACAAGCGATTTAGGACCTACAACATTCACTGAGGAATCAATAGTAAACGAATTCCTACTTTCAACCATTTTCTTCAAACTATCATTCTCAGCCTTAAGCTTGGCGTTCTCTTCCACCAGACTGCCAATCAACTTCCGCATTGAGTCCAATTCCTTTTTTGTATCGAGTAGAACACTGATGATGGCTCTCACATAAGCAGGGACTCTGGGCCCAGCACAATCCTCCATGAGTTTCGCCCAGTCATCCTTTTCAGGCGACACCATATCAACACATCTCCTCTTGGTTGCTGGAACAGACGTTGATCTGAGTGGTGTATCCATGCCTTAGTGTGATGTCCAATCGATTTTGATCTACTGGTCAATTGGGGAACAAGGTACAAATCACCAGCCTCCCAACAGCAATCACAGAGGAAAAGGGCTAGAGAAAATCGGTAAAATACACCTGATTAAGTGGCTTGAATACACGAAACAACAGCGATCCCCGCCACTAGAGATCTCGCAACACAGGCACTACGAATAACACCAGCAGCGTAAGACCGAAAGAAGAAGAAGTACAGCTCGAAAACTGCCGTAGTAGTTGCAGTTCGAAAAAACCGAATACAGTACGAGTAATGACAGTGCGAATACTAGACTGGAACAGACGTTCCTGCTCCGCAGAAATGGAATAACTTATCGATGAAGAAACACCGAGATCGATAAATGGTGCGGGAGCAGGGGGCGAACCGACCGCTCAGAGGCAAAGTAGGCGCGCGAATGATTGCAAAAAAAAGAAAATTTGGGAAGAATGAGCGTGAGAAAAGGGTTAGCAAATATATGACGCGCATGCGCGTC